GTTCGATCATCTCCGATGCCACAAATGCGAGTCACTATCTAGGATGCCCTTGGCTGTGTGATGGAATCTGAACGTCTGGCTGTGCGATACAAATGGTTTTATAAAGAGAATGGAGTTGAGATTTTTCTGATTCAATGTGTAAAGAGTCAAGAACATCAATCGCGTTGGATTTCGTTGAAATACTTCAATGCGCGCCGCGATGGCTCTCGCCTAACTTGTCTCCCGCATATCCCGATCTCAGGGCCAAATGCGCTGAGCCCCTTTTTTTTCCTGTTTTAGCTCGGTGTCTTATATTCTGGTGAATGGCTTGCATCGGCCCTCCTTCGTGTGGCCTTGTTGTTGTCCCTCCGATTCTCTCATTCACTTGCCAGGCCCTGTTTTTCTCCAGAAGACCATGAGATTATGAGGGTCTCGCGGGGTTTGGTTAATGGGCAAAATATACCATCGCTTTCTCTTATGCTGTGTTGGATTTGAGTGCTCTTGGTTTTCCATCCTCCTTATCCTTTCGTTCCGCCCCCGCGCCTCGCTCTTTTCAATACGTACTCCTACACAGTTTGTTCCTAACCTTTTTTTTTTTTTTTTTTTTTTTCCCACAAAGTTTGCTCACTGCAACATCAAGCATGCACAGTGTGAAAGGGTATAATTGTGGGAAGCGCCCAGGGGCGCCGAAAAAAAACCGCGCCGGTACTACGCGCCCAGCGAAAAAGAGTAGAGATATTTTCCCTGGGCGCATAGTACCGGCCGGTTTTTTTAAGGGCGCCCGTAACCAAAAATGTTTCCGCGTGGGCGCTTTCCACCAATTATCCCGTGCGATAGGCACACGCAAGGCAACATCAGCGGCAGATTCACAGAAAGATACACAAACAAGACAAACACGGCGCTTTCCACCAGTTATCACGAGTGAAAGGCACACGCAAAGCAGCATCGAAATAGAGTCACAGAAAGATAAACAAAGAAGACACACAGAACAGACCCCCCCACACCCCCCTCCCCCCCGAGCACAACCGAGTCGAATTCAAAGGCGAGTAGGCAGAGGGAAGTTGCCAGAGGGAGGTCGTCAGTTTGATTAGCGACTAAGTCGCGCCATAGCCCCCGATGGGCCGATGTGTCACAAGAGACGGCTCCTTGAGCAACTGTTGAGCCTTTACTATACCGCTCTTGTTTACGTGCGGATTGTCATTTTTTTCTGGATTGTCATTTTTTCCTATCGTCGCACGGTGTATGGTGTACCGTGTTGGTCTATGCTTGGTTGCTCATTAACACAAGAAAAGCAGGCACGAGCGCGGTAATCGTGACGAACGGTGGAGAGAACTCGACACGTCTTTCAGCCCGTTCACCACCGATTCCTGCTATCATCAGGGCATTTTCACGAGGGTGGACATCATCGGTAACTTGCCAGCAGATGATGCTCGCCACCAATCGCTGCCACATTGACATCAATAACCGGCGGGCTGCAGGCAGGATTCAATAGAGTTCCGCATACGGCGCAAGTCGCAACGACATGACTGACAAAGACAGTCACAACATTGCGCGATAAGACGAAGAGGAAGAGACAAGAGCAAGAGTTATAGACCCCGGCTCGTGAACGAAATAGGAATGCAGCCAGTACATGATACAAGTCCACCATAGCCAAAGGTAGTAAGTCTTTTAGTTGTCCTTCGGGACGTCCGTTAAAATTGGAACGATACATAGCAGATGACCATGGAAAAGTGAGCCTTTTAGCTGGTTCGCATCTTGTCCCTCCGCCTACAGTTATACATGTCAACTCGGAGGACTCTCTGTAGCATAATCTGGGGACCCGCTACCTCCCTCCATATCCCTGATCCCCCCCCCGTCTCCGTCCTCACTCCACTAAAGTCACGTGCTTATACATCATCCTCCTGCTCCTCCTGGTCACCAAAGTGCTCCGCCTCACACTCCCTCTGGTCAGAGCAGCACAACCGCTCCCTTCTTCGAGAGGGAACATCATCGTCTACAGTAGTCACACCTGAAGAGCCCGTGCCTGGGCATAGTGCTCCCTGCGTACAGCCCGCCGAGCCCGGTACTCATGGACCGACGTGTAGTCCTACGGGACCTCATGATCGACTGGATTGGAAAAAGTTACGAAACCTCCCGGGGACTTAACCATTGCACTCATTTTCCCCCAACCGGGCAATAAGTGCCGCAGGCCCCCGAAAATGACTTTTCCTGTCAATTTTCCACCCTGTTAAACAGTTTCCCGCCGTTTTTGCACGGCCGGTGTTACCGGCTTAGCCAGGGTGCAAAAAGGACGTGAAAAGTCACTTTTGGGGCCTGCGACAGTTTTTTCACCGTTTGGGGGGAAATGAATACAACGGTTTTTCATGGGGAGGCTTCCCTGCTGGACTAACTAGGAGGAGGATGGCCGGGACTGACATTCTGCCAGGCCTGCAGAAGAATTATGGGTAGTAGTGAAACAGGCTTGCCAGAAGGGCAGGGCAGCCCAGTTGGTAAGGCATGCAAGTGATATTCAGGAGCTCCGAGGTTCAATCCCCATTGTTGTCATGTACCTTTCTTGGAAAGCTTGGCGCCCACCACCTAGAGATATGTCATTGGCGGCCCCCTAGTGACATTGAGCAAAGACTGCTGATGTTCGTACGGAAAGGGGACCGGAGGGGAGGCACAGGCACAGTCATTGGCCCATCGAAGAACCTCTGTTCTGACCCCTGGCCGAAATAGCCCATCTGATGCTGTAGCAGATACCGCACCTGCTGGTGTGTGCAGCTCCCGCATATTCCCTCGTAGGAGGCTTGAGCACGGATGTGGCTGCCACGGGCTCTCCCCTAATACTATAATGACAATAAAAAAAGGCCTGAAAGGCCATCATGTCCACATTTCACAGGTAATTGAATCGGTTGGGCTTAAAGAATTAGCCTTTAAACCACCAGTACCTTTCCCATATGTAGGCCGCGGGCATCTACTAGCCTACTAGGCTAGTAGATGCCCGCGGCCTACATAGGCTAGTAGATGCCCGCGGCCTACATATGGGAAAGGTACTGGTGGTTTAAAGGCTAATTCTTTAAGCCCAACCGATTCCTACTACTGAAAAAATAGCCGCCACGCCGCCGTTGATATTTTTCATAGAAGACGCGTGGCAGCCAAATTTGAATTTGAGACCCGCGGCCCCACATATGACAAAAGTACTGCTGGTTTAAAAAAAAACAAAGAAACAAAGAAGGAAACGGAAGTCCCTTTGAAGCAAGTGGTGCACTACGTAAAACAGATGCACTCAAGCAGAGCCTAAGTGTGAGTATGCCCTACTATGCTGGCCTACTGCTGTGCAAAGTTGAGCTTCTTGGGGAGACTGTTGGACAGTGTTGTAAAGGCATCTAAAGTGTCGGGAGCTTTGTGGACCGGACTCGTACCTAGGAAGGAACTGGGCCACACTGTGACAAAACTGCCTATTAGAACTCTGGCCGCAGCAGACCTGCTGAAACATGTGTTTTTGGCCTATTTCGAACTCTACCTGTGACTCAGGTTCCCTTCTCCCTTGTCCCTTAATGGACTCTGGCCACCACTACCTTTCACAGGAAAACGCAAAGTCCATCTTGTAGGCTACAGGTTGAGATTCCGTTCCTCGGCGCAGGCACAGCAGCCTTTTTTGAAAACGAAAACAAGATCATAAAGACAACAAAAGAAAATTGGGTATCGGGGATGATGGAGACGGGGGGCGCGCGACCATGCTTCCGCCGGCACTACGCGCTCTGCCAAGCGTTACCAGGCTCATCAGAACCCGAGCTGCTATCCGGGACGGCTCCACCGAGGTTTCGCCCTGGTGTCACTCATACCAAGCGCCCTGCATCAAGGGTGGATATGGCGCCTTTTAGCCATTGGTAATGAGGCAAGGCAGAGGGAGCAACCCCCCACTAAGAAAGTACGGGGGGCAGAAGACTACTTAGAAGGCAAGGTTAGAGCATTGAAGAGTGCGGAGGCAGAAACCAATGGAGGAGACGGGAGGGCAAGGAGGCACGGGGCGTTCCCCCCCCCCCGGGCCCGCAGGAAGAACGGAACTATTGGGAAGATGAGGATAGGATTAGGGATCTGTTAGTGATGTGTTACGATGATGGAGTATACCCCACAGAGAGAGACCCAGGTGAAATGTTAATTGAGGGTAGATAACTGAGGTTCAAACTTAACATGTCCCTCGACGACATCAAGGTCAAGTGGCTCAAGGAGAGAACCGTAACAGTGATCTTTAAAGACGCGGCGAGGTATCTTCTGAGGAAAGTCAAAGATGACTTGGTTTGAGCATTTGAGGATGGTTGGGTACTGGGCAGTGGGCAATAATCAGATAGCAAAGAACTCCCGCAGAGGGAGAATTAAGATAGCAG